TTTGTACAGAAAATATTGTGTGTTTGTATATAAAATCCTTGATTGCATTGCGGTTCTTAAATTTAAACTGCCAAAATGAGTTTGATTTGTGAACATACAATACAAACATGAAATACAGGCTAAAAAAAAAATATATCGAAAAATTAAAATCAAACAAGTTCTTTTTTACTACAAAGATTCTATAATTAATTTAATTTTTTAAAAACCACTATTCAAATATCTAATACGAGTAGTATAACAGTTTCAGGGAAATTTTTGAATTCAATGAAAATATTTACAAGAAATGTGGTTTGGTTAATACTCCACATTCAACTGCATAATATAATGGATTAGAGCTGAACTAAGCATAGTTCACCATACATAATTCAACCCGTTCTAAGAAAAAATAATAATATTCACCTTATTATGTATTTTTTTTTTTTGTGATTTGGGTCTTTGATAAATTATCATCATAAACGCAAACCATTTTAAAATGAACTAAATGAGTAATTGAGAAAATACTTCCTATAAAAATAGAATTCTTTGTAGCGGGCTACAAAATGTTTATCAACAAAAAATATCATTGTTGATAAAGTATTAGCAATAAACTACTCAATATTGTATTGTCGTTTATTTCTTAATATTGCATTATTATTTACTGTAGTCAGTATTATTTTAAGAATTTGTAGTGGATCCGAACCGCAGCAATAATAATGCACTCAATTTTAAAATAATTGCTTTTGTGCAAAAAAAAGGGAACAATAAAGCAAATGGAAACTAGGACACAATTATAAAAATATGGGAAAATGTAAAATGTTTACAGAATACTGCACCATTTTATATGTATTTTAAAAAATAAGAATAATCAAAAATGAAAACAATAATAAATTTCAAGTATATAACGGGATGATAAGAAGGCTGTAAAAAATTTTTGAAAAATTTTAAAGTGCATCAAACTTTTTTATTTTCATTTGCATATATATACATACAAACTGTTTATATTGCCTTTGTTTTAAATATTTTTCTTTCCTTTTAATAGTTTTCCACTTGATAAACGTGTAAAATGTGTGCAGTGACTTACTAAAACCCTTTTAGTTTCATATTTCTTTTTCTCCTATTTTTTATGTACTCTATTTATTATCGTCGTTTTGTTTGTTTGTGTTGAGGAAGGATTAAAAATGGTATGTAATAAATAAAATATAGAAAAATAAGAGCGTGGATGCCGAATGCCGATGAAAAACATATAGATACAAGGTACATGCTAGGTGTCATATATAGAAGAAAGAGTAAATTGGAAGCAAATATTTCTGATACTGAAATTCTGTGGAGAACGGGGTTGTATTAAGTTGCAGAGTAACCATATATAAAAGGTTCAATGCTCTATGTTGCAAAATACAAAACAAAAAAAAATAACAAAAAAGGGAAATAACTGTCTTATTGTTGTTTCTTCAGTTTTTAACTTCTAATGTTTCCAGAGTGTTATTTTTTTATGCATTATGCAGTTTTGTTGTTAATTTTTATTTCCTTTGTTTAGTGTTTCTTAGTTTGAACTGCTCTTTTTCATGTTACATACAGTTTTCTTTAGCGGATTTAAGTGTGTACGTATGTGATTGTATACTAAAGACGGAATAGGTTTGTTCTTGATTCTTGTTTCTTGTTTCTCATACTTGTTGTAATAATTCCTTGTAATTCTTGTAATTAAAGTACGTACATACAAATGAAATGAGTTTGTTGCATTTTCTTTTAGTCTCTACTTCGTTTGTTGTTGTTAAATTTTTGTTCTTTCCTATGATTTTCTTCCCTTTTTTTTAATTTCCTTGTTTATTTTCATGTAAATCTTTGTTGATTTTTAGGTTTTTCCTTTATTGTACAGTATCCTTTTACAATATTGTTATTTATTATTTTTTTTGCAATGTAGACTCAATATTAAATCAAAATCATTAACATTGTCAGTTTGTTTTGGAGTAAAGCCAAAATGAGGTTATTTTCTAAGTTCAAATGTCTTCAATTCTTTGTGAATTATAAAAATATGAAATTAATGCAGGACAGTTTCCGGAAAGAGAATATTTTATGAATGTATTTTATTTGTAAGGCGCAAATTACGAATAGCTATGATTTTGTATGGATTTTATATTAACGGGAAATGATAGACATTGTTTTAAAAATTTGAATGTGGCCGGTTGAACACCCATTTTAAGTTTTGCTACCATCAAATATTTCACATTATTGTAATATAAACCAGATATGCAAACTATAATTAGGAACGGGGTTCCTTTAAAATTGTAGTATACAATCTCAAACTAAAACGAAAGACTAAAAGTGTTCTATACAGTAAAAATTAAGCCGAACTTTCAAATCGTTATTTTATTGCATTACCTGCTGTATATGCGACATAATTGAGATATTGGTGTAATTAGAAAGCTAGCTAATTACGAGAAGCACCTCCAGTCATATCATAGCTGTATGATCATTAGTTTGAGAACTATATAGAAGGAAAAATTTTAAAAACCACTTGATCCTGTAATATGCAATTTTTACTAACATGGTGTGAAATGCTTGTTTCGTATTGAACATTGTTACATTTAATTTTAGTTTAAATCTCAATAATCTCATCTGTTAATCATACGTCACTGTATGATTACTGTGCAAAGAGAACGAAATATCTTTTTAATTGAATGAATATTTGAGAGGCTAATCAAGCTAAAATTAATTTTATCTCCACAGTATCTTTAAAAATCTATTTTATAAAAAACAATGAAAACTATTTCAATAACATTTTATCCAGAAATAAATTTTGAAAATATTAGTCTAATAATATATGTATAGTTGAAAATATCCCTATAAAATTCATTGGAATCTTAATTGTATGCTCGTATGTTATAATGCGAATATATAAATTGGATTTCACACTACTGACATTGATTTAATTTTGCTTTCCAATTAAGCCCCTTTTAATATTGTCAAATATTTTCTCTATGTCTGATGTACGAAGTGAAAAAAAGGGGAGGGAGATAATAAATTATATGCTCTTAAAAGAAGATGGTTTGACCATGACGGTTTGAAATATTATTTTCAATATATAAAAATAAAATTTTGTATGAATACTCAAGGATATCTACTTCAATTCAATACACACAATAATTATTATACGAAACCATAAGAAATTTTATAGAATACTGTAACTTTTTCATTGGATTTGAATGTACGTTAAAGCCAAAAGAAACCCTAACATAAATTATTAGAATAACAATAAAACTAATACGTATGAACATTTTGTATATTTTAAGTAAAGGATGTTATTCATGTGCATATGTGTATATATGTAGATATTTTTGTACTATTTGCGTGTATGAGAAACTCGAAAATTAATACGCAATTTGGAATGGGTGATAACTTGATTTTTTTTTTTTACACAAAGAAGAAGAAGAAAAAAATATGTTTTATTTGAAATAAGAATTTGTTTGGGGTTAATTAAAGGATACTTTGTAATCTAATGTTCGTATTAATGTTTGTATATTATGCGTTCTCATACTACTCTAAAATTAAATAAAATTGAAACAATTTATTCTTACTTCATCTTCTTTTAGATTATCGTTCAATATTTATGGCATATATAACTATTTTGTATGTATACCTATACAAAATTAAAATTCAAAAAATCTAACGTGGGCTCCGTATAATAGAATATTATCAAAAATTTCGAGAGCTCGTAAATTTATTATGTTACTAAAACTAAACCTAAGTTTAATGAAATGCTGCTCTAAAATTTAAAAAAACTTAATAATGTTTTCTTTATACTTTCTACATCTTATCAATATTATGTTACGACAGTGGGTATTTTTCTCAAATTATTGTTGCATATATTCAAATGCTGTTATATAAAATATTTAAACATAGATTTGAAAATCAAAGGTTATCATTTAAAAAAAAACATTGCTTATTATCACTCATACTCTGCGAATTGCTCTCTCCATCACATTCTCTTTCAAGTCTCAAGAGAGTCAAATAAATAGTGATTTAGTGAAAGTTATATTGTCGCTTTAAACGTAATATATTTTCAATTGCTATTAAGAAATTGCTAGCGTATACTCTCAGTCATAAACACATGTACTAAAACAATAATTAAATTCTAAGATTAAATTTATAGCAGTACAAAATAATCTATCATGCAATATCTACATAGCACATTTTTTCTATCATGCTAGAGTAATTCCTATAACAACAATAGTACAAAAACTAATTGCAAGAAATTAATTGTATGGGTTATTTAATGCTATTTAATTAATATCACAATTTACTATTACTACAATTTACTCTTTCAATAAATAGATACTATTAAAATTATAGAATAATTATAGCACGCAATAAATCATTTACATATTCTACTGATAAACCAAATCAAACCAACAAACCAATTTTTATTTATTTAATTACTGATTATGATAATTTTATTTACAAAATCAAACGTTTTAGCTGCAATTATATGCAAACACACATGACGTATTTACTTTCTTATCAAAATTATATTTATTACACTGCAATTATTTGCTGCTTTACTCATACATAAAATGATTAAATTTTCTCAACCTAAAATCTCCTTGTAAAATAAATGTTGCTGAGTATAAAGCAACAAAATTTATTTTGTAGTATAAACTAAACTTTGTATTCATTTCTTCCATAATTTACTTGACCACTGATGTTAAAAATGTTGACATAATATTGCAGCGCTGTAGTATTAATAACATTTTTTCTTGTTTCTCATTAATTTTTAATTGTTTTTTTGAATCTTTGCGAGTCTGCAAAATTCTCACACTGTAAAATAATTTTTTTTTTTTTTTGCTTCTGTATTGTTTGTATTGCTGCTTGATTCAGGGGTTATCGCGTTTCTATTGAATACATCTTTATTGTCTCTACTCTATTCTTGTTTTTATTTTTTTTTTCTGCTTCTGGAAATTGAAAAAACAAAAAATTGAAATTGAAAAGAAGAAAAATATGAAATTTAACAAAAAGTCTAGCAAGTTGAGTAGAGTAGTAGTAGATATCAGTCTGATTGTAAATACGATGATGGCATAACGTGGATAGGTGGATTGTGCGGTGATTTTTCAGATTTTCTGGTACATAAAAAAAAATAAAAATTTTTTATTATACCTATATATCAATTCAAGTTCGATAGATTAAAATATTTGTATATGTAGCTAGATAAATAAATAAATATTATTGAATATTATAAAAAATATAACAGTTTTTCGAAATTATAAAAGAATTTTAAAATTAAATAAAAAGCAAATTGTATAAAAATTAATTAAAAATAATTTTTATATTTCATTTTTTGTTTTCTTTTTTAATCAAATATTTGTGGTATAAAGTGAATTTTTGAATTTGAGAAATAAAACTTGTTTTTAAAATTACAAATTATTATATAAAATTAATAAAGTGTTAATATAACAGAAAGGTAAAAATAGAAATTAATTCGCGCTTTGGATTTTGATTATTTTGGATTTTTTTTTTTCAAATTTAGAATATTTAATTTTTGTTTTAAAGTTATTTTTTAACGAACACTGAAATATTAAAATATTATAATACAAAATCGGAATTATAAGAGTCAAACATAAAATTTCAAAATATTAATTTAATAAATTGCTTTTATTCTTATTTGTAGAATATACTCTATATACTCTCATTCTAAATGCTAGTACATTTAGTATTTTTTTATTTAACACCGTAACTGAAGTTATTAATTAATATTTTAGTACTAACAAAAATATTAACATTGCAGTGTGTACTAAAAAAAGCCCACAGGCATTGTTAGTATTTCTTATGGTCATAATAAATACATTCCAATATTTGTCTTATTAAAGCTGCTATTAATATTTTCTATTGTTATAATTGTATATTATTTCATAAGTTTCTAATTGGATTTAAAATTTACATACATATTTTTATAATTTATATTATATGCCTTTCAATGAATAAATAGCATACTAGCAAAATATAATATCTATATATGGTTTTCTCAAATCATAATGAAATTAAAATTGAAATTAGTATGCAACTAATTTTATTGACTTATTTAAATCGTACTAGTGAAATTGTTTTAAATATTAAAATTATCCTGATGTACATACAATTTGCATATTTATACCTTATATACTCAAATTATATACTAATGCAATTTTTATTTTTGACCGATTCGAAAAACGAACTCTAATAATAATTAAAGGAATCGCCTTCAAATGGGTATCTCATATTCCCTTTCTTTATAGTTATATTAGAAACAGATTTAAATATACGCATTTAACTTTTATATAAGATAAAACTCATATATTATTCAAGTACTATTCAAAATTAGATTTGAGTTTGTGATATAAACTTAATTTATGTGATAAATATGCATATTATATCTACAGATCTCATAAAAATATACACATAAACCTACTTATATATTTTATAAACTTCCGCAATACTATTAAAATATTTAACCAAATTTTATAATATTATAATTAAAATGCATTGCGGATTATAAATGAAAATTTTCGTAATTAATGGAAAACCAAAAAAAAAAATAGATAAATAATTTTTCTTTGAATAAATTTTCTATATGAAACATACTTCTAAGTATAACAAAACACAAACTGCACACCCCACAATTCTAAAAATGAAATTATAATTTTTAATGCAAGAAAAAAAGCAAAAATATCAAAAAAGAATAAGAAAAGAAAAATGGAAAACCATAAACATATTAGAGGAAAAAAATTATTTTTTTTATTTTTTTTTTTAACTTACCAACATAATAGTAAACATAACTGAAATGAAAAAAAAATAACGGTGAAATATTATATTTATATACTCTTATAACATAGAATTAATTTTGTGGGGTTTCCCTTTATTATGCATGCACATTCATATATATATATATATATATATATATATGCTATGTATATATTGGTATAGAAATATATATGCACAAATTTTTCTTTACATTTTCCTTTTATTTTATATTTCTGCCATTTAAATAATAAAAATATAAAAATAATTCTAAACTTTAACACTTTAATGTGTGTTTGTGTGTTTATATGCATATTATACAATGCTTATATAATTCTTTATATGTCCCACAAGTATGTATGTATGTTATATAATATTATAATGTGAATGCACACACAATACATAATATGTACTTAATATGAAAATTTATCCCGTTATTGTGCTCTTATATTTGCAGTATAAGTTTTCTTGGTTTGCTCTGATCTTAATATCTCAAAAGAGCCATACAATATTTTATATTTATAAGTTGTACAAACTTTTCATTTTTCAAAATTTTTAAAATAAAAAATGAACTTAGTTAAATTTTATTCTTTGTCACCCTAATTAGGTACTCAAAGAACATTTTAATTTAATAATTGAAATAATTAACTAGGGTTATGAAATATTGTATTAAATTTTCAAACATAGTAATGTTTTTAAATATTAAAAACGAAATCATTAAAAATAATTATATTTTATAAAATAAATAAATAAAGCAGCGTTGCGAACCCTAAACGAACTTTCAAAATTTTCGACTACGTGTAAAAAATAAGAAATTTTGCTTTTCGTAATTTTATTTTTAATATCGCACGCATATACAAACTAATTGCTATAAATGCTATAAAATTTCGCCCTAATATTCTATTCAACTGTATATTAAGCTTTATGACGAGGGTCATAATGAACTCATTACTCACAGCTTTCATAATTTCATACACAGTGCACGACAACAACAGAAATTCCAAAATATTTTCAACAATTTCTACAATTCACAATTACGAATTTTGTTTTATACTTAAACTACCGCCATCTATTATACATATAATAATATTCCTATGCCATTATATTATATAATATAGTATTGGCTACTTAACGGTATTATAACAGTTATTTATATCTTATTTCTATATTTTTCATGTTATTTATAAGTATGTATACATAGAGTAATAATATTTTTTTTTCTTCCTTGTTGAATCTCTCAACTGTCTCATTATGGTTTTCATTTATTTCATTTATTTTATTTTATTTTTTACATTATATTTAATTTCGTTCTAGAATATTTATAAACAAGAAAATATAAAATAAAATTAAAATGAAAAAATAAAGAAGACAAGAAGAACTTTAACATATATACTATATAAAACTTTACTGTATAACATTAAAAAGTATAAAATTACATTTATATAGAAAATAAAATATTGAAATTAAAAGTGAATAACCTTTAAAAGCGAAATTTGATATTAATCTATATACATATACATATACAAATACTTAAAATATAAAAGTGGATTAAAAATATTATCATTAACTAAAATATAATTAATACACGCATAAGTTATACAATATTGTGCATACTTTAATTGATATACTTACATTACATTCATGTATGTGTATAGATTTTGTGTATTTTTCTAATATTAATAACTGTTATAAATAATATTATACTAATAAAATTAAGTTATATACATGGAATAATAGTGTTTAATAAATTAAAATAACAATTTCCAAAATTAATAAATTATTAAATAATTAATTGTTTTTTTTTTCAAAAAAATAATAATAAAAATAAAAAAATAATTAATTTCAATAATTAAGTAACTGTATTATCATTTTTATGTAATTAACTTTTATTCATATATACTTATGTTCACATTTACTTACATACTTTATTGTATAACAATATTAAATTACTAATTATACATTATTATTTAAATTTAATTATTAATTTAAGATTTAAATAATTATTTATTAATAAATTATTATTTTTAAAATTAATTATATTAAAAATTACTAAATTCGTTTTTGTTTGATAATTATATAATTTAAAAAATCTAATTCACAAAATAAATATTTTTTTTATTTTGAAAAATATTCTTGAAAATTTTTAAATTTAATTAATTATATATTTGAAAATATACTTATGACAATCGATTTTAATATATAATTAGGTAATATACTTACAATTAAGTATATAAAATAATTATTAACAATAAAATATATAATTTTAATTTAATAAACATTAATAATAATTATTATTATACATTTAATTTTTTTTTAAGATTTAAACATAAGAATAAAATTTCAATAATAAAAAAAAATTTTGCATTTGTTTCAAAATAATTATTGATTTTGTGTTTAAAATTAATTAATTAATTAATAACCAAGATACTTACATACTTGTATTATATAAATTGAAAATAAATTAAAATATTAAAATAAATTAAATATACTCAAAAAGTAATACAAACTAAAAAAAGTAAGTTTTAACATTAATTACTTAATTAAGTTGGCTGTACACTGAGAAAAAAAATTCAATTAAATAATTACATAAAAGAAATAATTATATAATAATTAAAATAATTTTTAAAATAAATAATTATCAAATTAATTTTTGTATAAAAGTTGAAATTATATTCTTAAAAAATATTTTTGCATTTTATTTTAATATTTTCTTCTACTTATATTTTATTCTCTTTTTATTAAATATGTGTATACATAATATATATACGTATATATTTAAATATACACATTAATGTGAAAACAGGTGTTCTACTAAAATTTTTATAATAAAAAAAAATAATAAGAATTTATAAGAAGAATAAGAAAAAAGTTCATTTTAAAGACTGCAAATTAAATGTTTTAAATGTATATACATATATATATATATTAAAAATTTACTCGTATACATAAATACAAATTTAATATAATTATTATTATACACACTTTTTCATAATAAATAATAAGTACAATATCACTTAGTGCTGGTAACATTTTCTTATGTATAACAAATCGTTACAAATAAAAAATTTATTATAATACAAATCCAGGATTAATATTGCTAATGTAGTCAACTACATGTTTGTATACAAAAATTGAGAAAAAAAATTATTCTCTTTGTAGTGTAGCGTATACAAAATAAAACGAAAAATAATTGTGTTTTATTTTTCTTTTTCATCAATGGTTGTTTCATCCTAAATATTCAAGAAAGAAAAAATATTTAAGAGAAATAAAGGTGAGTTGAATATTTTTAATACATAAAATTTATTTTGTACTTTTACTTAATTATTTTATATATGTGTGTATATGTATAATATTATAATACATAGAATTACATACATGTATATGTAGATCAACGTATGAATAATTATTACGAATTAATTAGATTTTATTTGAATAAATTTTAAGGATCCTACATATACATAATTCCTGATTTCTTGGAATTCTAATGTAAATTAAAATATTTGAAAAAAAAAATGAAAGTTTTTGGAGAGTAATAATAAAAAAAAGGTTGCGGTTAAATTAATTTCTCCCAAATTGTATGTAAATTTACCTTTATAAGGATACTAATAAATATTTAAATTATTTAAGTGTAGATGTTATAAAATGTTGTATAAGATAATTAATATTTTATAGCTGTATTATGGTTAGCCAAATTTTTATATGTATTGTACTTCCGATTAAAACAACACATAAAAGTGAATGAAATGCCCACAGGTGCCATACCAACTTCAATTCTTTTCAATATCTGTAGCGTTTTTGGAAAAAAAAATACTGTGTTAAATACATGGAATCATCTTTGATTTGGAAAACTATTGTATACTCGTAATTGTTGGGTAATAAATTTTCAATTATTATAATTGAACTATTCTACAAAACGAGCTCTCTATTCTGTGAGATTGTTAACTGTTCTACAACTCAGTTTATTGCATAACCAAATTGCTTCTCTTTAATTCATTTCCTTCTTCCTTTTTGATGTTCTTTAAATTTAAAAACTTAAATTTTCTAGATTAAATTGTAGACTCAGAATTTTTTATTAAAAAAATATTGTTATACAAAGGTAAGATTGTTATACCTATGTTCATATAGAAAATTTAAAGATTAAAAACAAAAACTTCATATTTACTTATGTTGAATAATTTTTTAAATTCTTCGCTAACAATAAAAAATGCCTTGAAAACTTCAAAGTGTATAGTTCAACTTGGAAAGTTTTTTTCATCAAAAGCGTAACTTTTAAGAATTTATAAAATTATTTATTTATTGTAAAATTTGAAAAGTTGGGAATAACCAAGGAAACATAATATCTTCCCGCTAAAAGAAGGAATATATATAAGAGATAAAGAAATTCTAACAATTAAAAAATATAAAGATGTTAGTGGCTTAAAGCACAAGTATTCCAATAATAGATTGCTCCTGCTAAAAGGTAGTACATACATATTATTTAAAAAATTAATTAAAATTTTTTCTATATGAAATGTAAACTATGCAGGAATCTATTTTAATTAAATTTCTTTGATTTTTCTTCAAAAGATTTAATTTGTAATCTTTTTTATTTCATTTTCAATTAATTTTTTATACTTTTATGAATTTTTTTTTTATGAAAGGCAAGGCATTTAAAGGCAAGAAATAGGCTACATGCAGTTATAGTAAGAGCCCTGTTTTTGTCCCTGTGTTAATCCTGTATTTGAAAATGAAAATATTCTCAGTGTGAAAACTATATAGAAATTTCATTTTTGTAGAAATTATAAAATTATGGAGACAAATTCAAATAGCTATTTTCCAATGATTATCACCTTGTTTTTATTTATAAATCAATGTTATTATTGTAGACATTCATACAATAAATTTTCAAACGAATCAAACGAATTTTCCGATTAGATCTGTATTGTGCTTTCGTGTATGTATTAAACATAATATAAAATTGTTTCAGTGTATAGAACAAAGGACAATATACTTAGTTATTAAATTCAATTGTGTGAAATTAATAGGATTTATTAATGGTAATTTAAATATGTGCATACTAATTATACATATATGTCTATGTTTAACATTTTTATCCCTTTTATTGCTCCAGCAATCCCAATTACACAAAAGTTATTTACTTATTATGTAAAATCATAAGTTAATTTGAATTTCGACTTTTATGTTGTGGAAAATTACTTATTCATAACACAAACATAACTTACCCTAAAATTATGAGAAAAAAATTAAGTAGACAAGTACAATTAAGATTCAATTCAGGTTTCACATTCGACATTCATTAAACGAATTAAAGAATTGAAAACATTTCAGTTTTAATAAATTCGCTCTTTTCCGCCATTATACCTAATTTTTATTTTAAGAACTTTAATAAACTTTCCCGATAAAATGTCATCGTACTAATCCGGCCTTTTTTAATTAAATAATATTTTCATTCAACTCGTACTTAATTTTACTAAAGCCCTGCAGAATTTCTAACATAATTGGAACAATTCTACAACAAAAAACAATATAGAACTGATTTAATAGTGAATAAAACAATAGAAAATTGCGTATATTTTTATGTATTTAAGTAACAAATAAAATGTTTTTAATTAAAATAATTAGAAAACATTAAGACAAATTTTCTTAAATTGTTAAGACACAGCATGGCTCTTCCATTCGAAAATGGGAAAAAATTCCATTTAATCATCAAAAGTATTTTAGTATACAGCGATTTTTTTTTTGTTCATATTGTTTTTCATGGTTATTATCCTTTTTGAAGATTTGTTGTTCTTATATAATATGCTTATTCATAAATTTATCAAATGCAGAAATGAAAAGGATATCTGAGGAATGAAAATAGTTCAAACATTTTTTATTCTTTTTTTATTATTTTCTATTATTCTAAATGTAATTCCTTTGTTCTACGGTCTTTTCTTTGTTTTTTCTGTTTTTTAATTTTTTTCTATATTATGATTTGTATTTTGACATATCCTGAGGCATACTTACAATAAAAAATAAATAGAAAATTCGTTAAATATGATTTTTATATTCTGCCTTTTATTATGCGAATGCGAGTATAAATAATATTCATGTATACATACACAAACATGACTAAATATATATATTCCACCAGCACATTTAATATAGATAGTATTAAAAACTATATATTTGTATACATATTATATATAAGTGTACTTAGGTAGGACTCTAAAACATCTCTATTAGAAAAGGGTGGTTTTTGGGGTCGTAATAAAAAAAAAAAAACAAAAAGACAATAAGTAATGATATATAAAAATTTTACCTCGATTTATCGTGTATATGTATTCGACCCCTCTTAATAAAAAACAATCCTGTAGGAAAACCCAAAAATTTTTCGGATAAAGGATAATGTATAGAGAATGTATGTATATATCTGTGTGTATGTATAAATGTACATTTTCCGTATTTTCTAATTTTCCGAATTATAGACTTGTTGTTTATGAAATGACCTGATGTATTAGTATATGTATTCTATTATATCTCGTATTATATAACATTACGAGTAAAATTCAGCACAGTAGAGAAAATTTAATGTTTATATATTTGTGTATATAAGTACATAATATTTTTTTTATAGCTGATATAAACAAAGAAAATATAGTGTTATGTATTGTACAATATACAAGTTTTTTATTTTATTAAAGAGAAATTTAAATTAAGTACATACATACAAAAATACTCATATATTATGCAAGTAGCTTGTATATTTTGTATGACGAGCATAAATTTGGGATTTAATGTATTCGATAAATGCAATTACATATAAAAAGTTGATTAAAATGTTATTTAGAATCAGTGAAAATGATTTTGAGTTGACAAGACTAGTGAAAGTCTATAATTTAATTTAAATGACCAGCTTTTATATAATGGAGTTAGTTACCACAATTGTTTATTAATTCTTAGTTGTAATGTAATTAATTCAGTATTTTGTACATTGTACAATATTGTATTGTTTTAGGCTTAAATACTCGTATTCATACGTATAGCAACTCTGTATAACAACTACTGTTTTGATTTTTAAAAATCTATATATTCCAATGAAGAAAAATTTTTCCTATCTCACAACCACCAAAATTTTGAATTTCTCGTAAATGTCTGTATTTGTCAGATAGTGCCGAAATTGAAAGCATTTCGAAATTCCGCACACGTATAAAAGTAAAGTCCTGTTTCTTTTGATAAAAAGGATTTTGATAATTTATCCGCTTGCCTTCATTATTGTACTAACACTTCTTTAAATTTTTTATTCCTCCAATGTTCTAAAAGTATACAAGAAGATGGCGTTGTATAATATTGAAATATTGGTAAAATAATTATATATAAATTAAATATGATTTACTATTCTTTCTAATTACTTATTATGTACTCTATATCCCGCAATTGATTGAAATTGAATTTTGTTACTTTTATTCAATTTTTATATACGCACAAAATTGTTAATAACGAGTAAAATATCGTTGTCCCATGACCCCCACTACTGTCATATATATATATATATATATATATATATACTTATTTTTTGTTATTATAAACAAATAAAGTACAGTACAATTTTTAACCCTTTTTTATACTTCTACATTTTTATTAATTTTTCAATTTTTAAACAATGGCCAGTAGATTTTTGTTTTTTAATATTTTTTCAATGTTATATTTTTCTATATAATGTAAAGGATACGAATAAGTAATAGAAAATTCGATATTTAAGTAAAGAACTTTTCCAGTCTTGTGAACTTGGATAAAGGATTTTATGATTTTTTTTTATTTCAATTATATTTTTCGTATTAAAAGTAAAAATTTTAAGAGAACGGGTATGACACTTATAAACAGGGTGTACCATCAAATGTCTGAGTAATCACAAAATTTAAAAATTTTTTTTTTTTGTAGAAATCTGAATATTTTTCTAAAATTTAGAAATCTAACATACAGTGCTATAGATATTGAATATAAGAGGATTTTAATTGAAATTTTTAAAATATAATTGAGGTGATGATTTTTCATCATCAGAAGGATTGTTCATGAAGGATTTGAATAAAATGTATACCAAAATTGAATTTTTGGACAACAAATTTCAGTAAATCTCTAACAAACCCCTCTTTTCAAAATATTTACCTTTGAACAAAACTAAAAGCACAAAATTTTTTATTATAACCATAGAACTGCTGAAACACTCTGCCAATTTATTCAAAATGAAACTAAATTTAATAAAGTTCAGAGTTTCATTATTTTGTTATCATA